TCAGTGTACAGATTGTTGTTCAAACTTTTCTCGCTCTCTGTACTTCTCAACACCAAAACAGAAAAAATCTGATGCGTCATATGAATGTATATGTCAACCTGACGTGTCTACATCAGATTGATACTGTAAATTAAGCCTATATTCAAGAGGTTTGAATAGTGATGAACAGTAACAGCTGAAATAATATGACCATATATCTCAGCATGAGTGAGGCGTAACCTGCCATGCCACTCAGTGCCCATGCTCTGCCATCATCTCGTAATGCTAACACACAAGGGGGCTCGTTAGCCTCCTATTACGGATGTGACAAGCACACCGTGATAGCGCAATTATCCCAAAATGCCAAATTTCACTCCAAAGGAAAAGGAGCCTGTAGTGATTAATGGTGAACACTTAAGGGGAAGAGTTAGACAACGCTGTTGGGTAGGAGAAAATATGTATGAGGCTGCCACCACTACAGATGCTTCCTCCCTCCTGACAACTGCAATTCATTTGAGATGCTATTAACATGCATAATTATGCTAATCAAGCAGTAATTAAGTGCCAATTCATCAGAGACCTTTTTTGGGGGGTTTGTAATTTCATCAAGCATGGCTGTTGGGGTTTTTGTTTTTTCTTGCATATTTTGTGAAACAATATTGCCCAAATGAGGAACTCTCATTGCATCTAAAAGCCCCTTTGCGGAGTGTTTTTGAAGATTGCAAACAGGATGTGTAAGAGACGGGATGTAATGCATCCCATCGCTGAGACATTCATGTCATTTACACAACAGGTTTTTAAGACCACACTACATGGTGTGTTCATGAATGATCACTATCAATACAATTCTAAATCAACCTCAATGACAAAATTGCCATTCGTCAGTGCTTTCCAAAATAACCCATATGATCAAAAAAACGACTTATGTACTTATTTTAATTTTGTTTGATTAAGTGTTTTTGTTGGTTACTTGGGCTGATCTGTGATCAGCATAGCAGCTGTGTCCTTGTGCGTGGGAAACCGGTTTACTGTAAACACTTCATCCCATGAGAGATGGGCCATGACATTGCATAATTCTTCAATTGATTTATCAATTTATACTCCAGGTCATTCGAAGAAACAACCAATGCTGACAGATATTTTACCTCGACATATTTTCTGGAAAAGTAAGCACAGAATTGGTTGTGTTAGGCATTCAAAACAAATGCAGTTGTTTTTTGGTGAGGTAAGTGATGTGAAAATTGCATAAATGATGAATGTGTGTTGTCTGCGTGCTCCAATCAGAACTCAAATGTCATCAAGTGTCCACAGCGCTAAAATGCAGAGGAGGCAATTTTACTTTGCAACACTTCAAGAGTGTTTTGTATTCATTGGCATTTCTCACTACAGATTGTCCACATTAACCTCCACTGATTGACTTTCCCTTTTGTGTTCCCGTAATGGGCCCTGAAGAGTAAGAATGAACCCAACGCACCCAAAGGACTGTGCTCTTTGTCTGGATCATCTTCACGCTGTCATCTTATCCCAGGTGCTACACAAAAAAAAACTTTGAAAGTCCGAGAGAGACAACAAATAGCTTTTCACTCCAGCATGAAATCCAGAAATCATAAAAACCTTGATTGATATATATATATATTTTTTTTTAACCTTCTTTATCTGTTATTTTTTTATATTTCTGCCCATGCTTTAGTACACCATGTTGTCTGAGGTTGTGCAGCACATATAAAATGTTATCTGCAATGGCATTCCTCTGTCCACTTTCCCCCACTAAGTCAGACAGGTGTTCTCATCGGACATGAAAGCCTCTGGTGATGCATGTCAGTCTTGATCACCCGTGATGAAGGCCCGAGGTACGGAAACTGCTTCCATCCCTCTGACACGTGAACTCTTTTGAGTTTTCAGCACTTTTATCATAGTTTTGGCAGTCAGGACCACTAGTCAGACGTTGAGAAGCACCGTCCCAACTGCGTCGTTTATGCTTCCATTTTCCAGTCCTTTCCTTGATTATAATGTAATCTGTCATTCCTCCCTGTTTTTGTCTCAGATCACATGCCATCTATATTGTAATGCCAACAGTGGCTCCCCTGAGCCTAACGCTTAATCTCTGTGTTGGTAACATTTTCCTGCTGAACCAAAGCTTCTGGAGCCTTTTTTTGTCATAATGCTCAAAATTTGTTAGATCGGAGATATTTGTGATTTACAACTTTTTTCTACAATTGTCTCACCTCATCATCACTCCAGTCGCTCCTCTCTTTCTATGGACTCCCCACAAAAGCAGGCATGATAATAAGTAAGTTGACGATACAACAGCATGCAAAGCCAGGTCATTACGCACAGCAAGGAAAGCAAAACAGCCTGGTTGACGGTGGCTGGCTGCACAGGAAGAGATGGGCTCTGAGGTTTGATGGGGCAGAAAAAGGCTCACGAGGACGGCTGGCTGCTCCTTTTGACGGCGTGTCTGAGTTGGCTCGCAAGCTACTCAGCCGCATCCGGGTGATGCAGTCATCATTGTGGCAGGCCTGTCAGAACAAACTGGTGCACCGGGGACAGATACAGCTTTAGTGGCAGGATGGGGGAGTACGCAACACATGCACCACCCTAACATCAAATATGTTCCCCAAACTGGCAAGCTGGTGGCAAGTTAATGACAGGAACGACCGGTGACATCATATAAAAGCACGATTACGCTCCGCTGAAGACATCTGAGTGAGTCCGTAGATCAAACAGACAGGGTGATGACTTAAAGCACTAACACACTCGCTACTGGCATTACTTTGAAAGGAGCCTTGGTAACACAATGTAAGTCGGCCTCTGTAATTTAAATGGGAAACTGATACGGCATAAATAAACACTACTCCCCCACACACACACACACGCACACAGAAAGAAGATGAGAACGAGACGGGGAGAGAAGATTGAGGGCTCAGACATTGCCAAGAGGAGGTTTGTGTTGCATCACCAATGCAATGTTTGTTTTTTGTCATGGATTCAAATGAAATGACAGTCAGTGGGAGGATAATGGGTAATCATTAGCCAAGGGATTGCAAATTATTCATCCAACCAACCATAATAACTGACTTCAACCATTTTCTTTTTTTTGCTGCCATTTATTTAAAATTAAATAAATGTCACAATCCAAACAATCATTTAATTGTCTGGAAGCACAATCTGCTTTCAAATAATTAAAACAATAGGTACCATATTACAGGGTGAGATGTCAATCATACCGGTCTCCTGCTAAAGCGTTGTGAGAGGGCGACACAAATAATAGCTTTCAAGCTGTCAGCTAGTGGAGGCTGGATCACATTACTGAAATTAGAAAAGATGATCTATTATAAACGATTCCCTCCTCTCTCAACACATGTACATGGATAAAGACAGACAACAGAATGGAGAACTAAGTTTTAAAATATATCAAAATGTAAACGTACATACAGCCATGTTTTTTTGTTTAATAATGTCTGTATTTATTTTTGAGATGAATCGTTTGAATTAAGAGTTTAACTGATTGTCCATCAATTAAATGACCAGTATGACATCACACACTTCGGAACCACATACAACCCAAAATTTAATTGAAATCCATTTATGTCCTTTGTGCTATCATCCGTGTTCTAATTCGTCCAGTTTAAGTATTGTAGTCCAACACACCGCACATTCTTTTGGCAAATCCGGCTCGAGGCCGTTTCACACCCCTCCAGTATAAATATGAAAATTCATCAAGACGGTAAAAAGACAAAAACCTAAATACAGAGTGGAATACCTTGTTAAGTCAGCAGGGAAGTTGTTTTATGGCCACGACGTATCCGTGGGCAACACTGACATCTGCTGGTTTAAATTATTTATTTATTTTAAACCGTTACTTTTACATGTTTATGCTGCCTTTCATTAAATTGAATCAGACGTTTCCCAAACGTCACATTTTTTACATGGCAATGCTTTATTCTGTATTTTTTGCTTGTACATCTACAAAGCCATCCCAATCCTACTTCCGTGAGTCCGTCATTTTCCATTTAACATGAATCAATTGAGTTACCCACTTATCAGCAGAACACATTTATTAATGAACCTGTCATTTCTAATAATTGATCATGGTTTTCTCTGTTAGGACACTAATGATATGCACAGGTAAAACATGGCCCGATTATTGTGTTTGGTCTAATTGAGACTGTGCTTCTCTAATATGGTTCAGCTGACCGCCGCCCTGTCTGCCACACTGGACATCCCAGCAGATTCACTAAGACTTTGTTTCATTACAGGTGAAATAGAATAGTACTGCTGCTATAATAGGATCTGTCTTATTTGGAACGTACAAACAAAATAATCAAATACCAAGCCAAGCAAATCTAGCAATAACTAAAGCGATCATGTCCATTATTTACTATCTGGTTGGAGCGCACTCATGAAAAAAAGCATTTATTTTGAAACCCCAAAAATTCTATTCAAGACAACAGGTCGCTTAGGTAATGTCAACAAATGACATTTTCATAAAATAGATTCTTGAATAAACAAAAAGGCCTCAGAGAGGCGTGGACATGCTATGATTATGGTCTAGCAAAATGTTTCCTTATATAGTCAAACATAGTTAGGGTCAGCTAAAAGTAGAGGTAAAAAAAGTGGACCATATTGCTGTGGGACCACACCAATAGAGAGTGTGATCTTTCACTGTTTTGATACGTTTACAAAATCTTTTCACAGACGTTAAAACCCGGCAATTAACTCAAAACCGCCTGTGTTCAGTGCTCGGTAAAGTTTGAGGTACAGAGGCCACATTATGCTGTGCTATGAGATTTACAAGATTAAAAGAACATTCTTATCGTCTATTATAATATATTTTATAAAATATAATAAATACTTTCAAATGAAAAAATGAAACATTTGTCAACTGTCTGAAAATATTTCCATATAATTAGAAAATAATCCCAAACAAAGATTTTTGTCATTTCTAAAATCACTGACCTTTCAACTTTTTGAAAACAAACTTAATTTAAACCTGTTAATATTCACCAACAAGAAGATCATTGATTTTTAGAATTTATTTTCACTAACTCAACAACAAAATCAGAACAGGTTTTTTTCAGTCTTGTCAGCTACATTAAAGTCTCTATTAAGGCCACGTTCAAGCTGGGCTGGAAACACTAAACACAGTACTCTACATACTGTGACACAAATCATTCTTGCTTTTTCAAATTTTGACCAGTAGTCGGCACTCTTGGATCTTCTGCCCATTCAACGTCCTGAGGAAAGAAGTGATCTTTTGCCAATCTACATCTGTTACTCACATAACTACAATAAGCCACAGCTGACCATACATGTAAATATAATCCATCTGTTCAGTGACAGCCGTAAGTATTTAGGTTCCCGAAAGGCTGCAAAAGCACTTGGCCTCAAAAAATACAAAAATACGAACTATTGACATTGTTTTGATCATATTGCTGCATATTCACAAGGCAACAATTGGGTAGATCTGTGTGCATCTACTACTGGGCCTTCAGACATCCAGACCACCGGAAATCGGACTAAGTATCTTTTCTTTAAACCAAGCTAGTCTGCTAAAATTGCACTTTCTTATTTCTTGTTCTTTTGAGTTTGTATCCTTATGGTTGAAATGCACTTATTGCTTTGGATAAAAGCGTCAGCTAAATGACACGTAACGTAATGTAATGAGATCAAACAAACCTTATTCAAAAGTGCAGAAGTGAACCATTTTTAAATTCAAAAGACGAATGAATTGCACTAAATGATTCTACTCTGCAGATAAAACAAAAGTGTCTCCAAAATTTTAACTACATCTGAGGAAGTTTACATACAAATTGTTGTTAAAGCAAAAGTATAAGCTTTGGAATCCAACTGCGTACGGAATGCAGAGAGCAGCATCTGGTTACAAATACATTAACAATCAACAGCATCTTTTACACCACAGCCATTCATTTACCCCATTAATACATCCTTTGCATCGGTAATACCACTTATTCACAAAGTTACTGAGTGAGTGACAGGGGGAGTGTGTTTTATTTTAAATCATAGTTTTGGGCTATTAGCCTGAGCTACTATCCCGACTAGCTCCCGCTTCGCGGCCTGTCGGTCCGAGGCGGGGCTGCAGCCGCGGAGCGCTGTGGAGGGAAGGCGAGAAACCCCGTTGAGCGTCACCGCCCCGCTGTCTATGGGACAGATGTAGTCCGCGCATTCATCAGGTTTCCTCTTCCTGAGGTGACTGAACTGCGTGAAGCCCAGCTTCTTTGGCTGAAAACACAAAATCAATTTTAACCATCAAATTAACGAATTAGATTCAAGGCTGCTCCAACCAGTGAAATATTTTTATCATCGGGACTGTTCTCTTACCTTGACCTTTGCAGTGGTAGTCAGGGGCACATGGCCCGTGGCGTTGCCGTACTCCCGCTTCTCCTGCGTGGCCTGATGTCCCACCAGGGTAGAGAAGGCAGTGGCGAGGTGGCGGCGGAGCAACGTTTTCTGAGGAGGTATGTTTAAAAGTAGGGCTAAAGTCTCCGAGCTGAAGCGAGGCTCCAGGATCTGTCGAAAAAGAATTTTTGCCCATGTCAGCAAACGCGTTTCGTATCACAGGGTTTACGTGAAAAAGTCAAATCTAAAAAAATAAAAAAAACACTTACAATCAGCCCGCCGTGGACGCCGCTGCCCCGTAGGTTGGGAGCAAACTCGGCCAGATCGACCGCTCTCAGCCACTCCATGACGCGGTGATTAGACCACTGCACCACCTCTGAGGGGGAGGGCTGCTTCTGAAGAAGTTAAAAACAGGAGGACAAATTTTCAATCTGACTCACAACTGGTGGACCCTTTAAACAGCCTAGAAGCTTTAATAGCACCTGGACTGTCAAGGCAAGAAATGTGAGAGCAACAAAGCGCTGCATTGGAAAGAATTCTAATAATCTGATGCCATCTCGTGGGTAACTGCTGGGACGACACCTACTACACACAAAGTGCGGCTCAACACAACACACGTCATAAAACATACACAACGGCTACGTACACCGCTCACTTGCACGATCCACAATTTCAACTTCTGCTTTTTTCCATCTCGGCTTACCTCTTCCCCTGGCCTACGCCTGAGACAATTGGGGTTAAATTTGTTGGCGTGAAGAACGTGGATGGCACATTTAATACTGAGGTGGTGAAGCTGACTGGTGACCTTCAGAGTCAAGAGGTCATTCTGAGGGAACAGCAAAGGAACATCGGTAAACTTTATGAAAAGTATACAGGTGTCCATTTTAATATATTTAATAGTTACAGTAGATGCAGGATTACGTCTTACCACTGTGAGGTATTGTATCATTCGACCATCCACTCGGGCCTCATGGAAGTGGTCTTTGTACTGAGGCAAGCCGATATCATCCAACCAGCCTAAAAGGGCGATAATCAGATTATAATTTTACACAGCTGTCAGATGTCAAAAAACTGTTCAGTTACGATGCGGTTCCTGATTTTGAATTCTGGAAGTGGCTATATTTGCATCTTTTCTAAAATATTGTCTTTGTCTTTGCTTGATTTGTGGCGAAATACGATGCCGCTGCTATATGAAAAGTTCATAATATTGCATTTAGAGAGTCTCACGGGTGACCCAGATGTAGTCCAGTTGTGATGATTTCTCTATGACTTTGGTGGGGAATGCCTTCAGAGCGAGCTGCAGCTTCTTCCTGTGCAGTGGATTCTTCATACCCATTTCCTGAGGTGAGAAAGAACTGTTTGTTAAAAAACTAAAGCTAGATTTACCCAGACCCCATGCAGATCAAAGTTTCCAATTTATGGTCTGATTGAAAACTTAAGTACTTTGTAAAGTTGTAAATACCACATATTTTCACAGTGTGTGTGTGTTTTTTTAAAGGGCCAATGGTTGTGCTTAGCTTTTTCTCTGACCTTCTCAAAGTCCTGAGGTGTGGCAGACAGCAGCGTCTGTCCGTTTTCAACCCACTGCCTGGTAAGATTGACATACTGGCCCAGTCCATAGTCCTCTAGCCAGCCACACACCTGCTCTTTGGTCCACTGGCTGAATGGAACGTTCATATCACTACAATTCAAACAGAAATCATATATATATAAATGTTTACATTATTATATTAATGCATTGCAAGTATTTAAAATGCCCATCTTAAAATATAATTCATATATGTATGTTTTGAAAATGACTAAAGCCTGAGTGTGACCTTTTGGTTCTAGGACATGGTGGAAGCAGGTGAACCAAACAGGATTACTGTATCTAGTGCCTCCACACTGTCGTTGTCCGCTCAGGTCACACTATTCCACTACATGCTTTTATTGCAAAGTAAAGTATTGTGTGCTGTTGAATAAATAGATGACCTTCACAGGGAAACATTATAATTGTGAGTTCGTTGGCACCCTCAAATAAAAGTACAGTATTACTTTGCTTTACCGTGAACTGTCATAAGATTCAGGGGTCCTGGTCAGTCTGGGTCCTGCTGTCGACCGTAGTCCTCCTCTTCTAAACTGACTCAGGTCTGGATCCACTGCCTGGAGCCCTGCAGACTGGGTTCTTCGAAGTCTGTATGGGTGAGTGTAAAAATAAATTAAAACTTTTTGAAAGTACATTGATATTATATCTCACACAAAAGTGGTAGATAAGTTTAATAAATGCATAAATTAGTTATTTAGAAGGACTCTTTACATCACATAGAACTATAAAATATTATGTATACACGGTTTATTACATTAGATGAAAAACATCATAATAACAATATTATTTAGACTTATTGTCGCACACTCACTTCCCCCAGAGTCTCTTAAAGCTTCTGTTATTCTTCATGTATTCTGGTGAGCCCACAGCTCTCTGGAGGGGCTGTGTGTTCGCACCACAATGAACAGGGGAATTATCTGGTGAAGGGCTGTCATCAACCTTCTCCATTTTTCCTACAGAAGGTTACAAAAATCACAGTCAGATAGGACTCAAATTGCTAAGCTGTTAAACTGTTAATGGCTGTGCGACATTTTATAGATGCATTAGTTAAAATGACTTTAAATAGTTGTGGCGTATGCGAGAAGTTTCCCTAAATTGAGGCATGGTTGAAAACAAAATCTGGATGATGATGATTACGAGGATGATGATGATGACTAATAATGAGTAGAATGTATTAAAAGTGTCTCTTTTCATAGCAAACAGAACATTAGGAGATAAATAGTACACATATCTGCCTTTTCACAGTGCTCTATTCAGAGAGAGAACACAGCTCACAGATCATTGAGTGTGGGAAATAAAGTTTTTTCGAGATGTGATCTTTATTATACGTGCTGCAGAAGGTCTCCGGTCTACTGCAGAATGCAGCTGGGTGAAGTCAGGGTGGGGCACAAGTTAAAACGGGTGAGCGGAGCCGAGAAAGGGTGGAGCTGGTATGAATATGGTCAATCGCAGCCAGAGGGAGGGTGTGTTTGGCCTGAAACGCTATCCCATAATCCATCTGCTCTGACGGGAGTCTCTTCAATTAGATGTGATCAAAGGCGCAGTGGTTGTCTGCTAAAAGGAGAGGGGTTCGTTCCAAATATGAATACTTCCTGTGCTCATGGGAATTACTGCCCCTGCAACCGTTACACAGAAAGAATAAGTTGAATCGTGCATTAGGGATTATTACTGCACACTATCCATCATCATGTAGAGACTGATTTACTTTTGCTGGAGTCTCCATCTTCGCTGCCATCTGGGGACCTTTGGCTCTGGATTTCACTGCTGCTGTCTTCGCTTACATTCTGCTCCGAATTCACGATCGGCATCTGACTCCTAAGTTCCTCCACACCACTCTGGATTCACCACAAACATACACAACTGTTAATAGGAAGCAAATTGAATTACCTCATGCTCCAATTCATGTAATATACGGAAACAGTAGCTTATATACAATGTAGAAAAATCAAGGATTGGGAGCAATCGGGTTTATTTTTATTGATAAATTACTGCCATATTTGTATGATGGTGACAAAATACCTTTTGCAAAGCTCCATTTGTTAGGTCATTGGTGCTGCTTGATGAAGTCTGAGGTTCTGTTCTGAGTAGATGGAAACACAATCATCTCAGCAAAATATAACAAGAGATATTGGAGAGTTGTCCAGTGACGAAAAGGTGTCTCACTACCTGTATTCACTGTCCTTCTGTGCTGATGAGACGGATGTTGGTTGGGAGGAAGAGCTGCTTGTGGAAACCTGTGTTGGGTAAAAAAATAAATAAAAATAAAACCATGTTAGTGTGAACAGATCACTTTGAGCAGTGGCTGTAATTAGTTTGTACCTACTTCAGACTTTACGTCCACAGACTTTGCACTGGCGGAGTCACTATTCTTCGTCACTGTGTTCTCTTCTTCCTCACTGCTGCTTGACAGAGTCCTGCCATTTGCCAGTGAGCGAACAGCAGGTGGAGCTACAGTAACAAACAGAAAGTATTTATTCTTCTCCTGAACTCGGTTGGTGGCATGTGTTCCTTTTTAAGGAGGGAAGAATAGTAGCTTTCATTAAGCTCCGACGTGGACGCTCTCTAAATGCAAACACAAAAAGGGAGGAAGAAAGTCATCAATCCCATCACCTCGTCTCGCTGTGTGAGTGACCTCTCTGAATTGCTTGCACTGATTCAGGAGCAGAGTGAGTTCTTCAATTTGGCGGTCCTGAAGACAACAGAGAGGAAACGCAATTGAGATGTTTCTCTTATGACAGAAAACACGTATGTAGACTAACTGCTTCGCTCTATGTTACGGACCAACGCACGCAGCTCTTTCACCATATGGCCTTTACATCATAACGGCGGATGGGAAGGGGATTGACGCTGGCGTAACGGGGGGATTCTTAGTTGTGGTTACCAGCTGTGTGCAGTTTGTGTGTTTTGAAGTGGTGCCCGTGTCTGGTTTTGTCATGGTTCTCTTAATGCAGCTCACTCCAAAATTAGGGCTGGCAGATCGGGGCATACTTAAGTGTGGCTTTGCCCGAAATGGTTCGCCTCGGGGTGTGTGTGTGTGTGTGTGTGTACGTGTGTGTGTGTGTCCGCAGTAGTGCGCCACATGTAGGACCCCGTCTGTGAGTCTTTAAAGTCCAAGACTCTCTGGGAGGGGTAATACAAAAACCCGTCTGCACTAAAAGCGGTTGGAGGGCGTCGCCCTTCAGAAGCCTCTAACCTTTTGAGCAGCATGATGACAGCGCTTCTATGATCAGGCCAGTGGGACAGTTTTACATTGTTCTAAATTAACAGCAACACACACGATGCTGTGCGTCACATAATCACATACAGCTGATGAGCAGGGGGGGAGGATGTTTTTCCAAATGAGTGGTAATAACTTACCTTTTCATCATTGGCAGCTACCAGGGATTTCATTCCACTCCTGAGCCGCTCCATCTCCTGATCTAAATGTTTAAAAAGAAACCTCACACTGATTATTAATCTGTATCATTAGCTACTCAGGTCATATAAATTCCTATTTCGTATCGACGTATGCTTATTTAAAAGGAAAGCAATAATACATTCGAACCAGTGCCGTCCAAACCGTGTATTTTTAGATAGGTCTGCTTTTAATCTTAAGTCGGGTCAGCGCTAACATAGTGTGGATCACAGTCCATATATACTTCCTATGTAGCCACTGCAGGCACACATGCTAGTGCAGGCACAGACTTTATATTCTTAGGAATCCATAAAAACAATATAACGGCCAAAGGGAAAAGAGATCATGTCATTTTTGGAATCCAGTTTGTTGTTGTGAAATGTCCAATGAGAGCAGAAGGGAACAAACATACTAAATAAAAAGACATGTCTGGAGAAAGGAAAAAGATTATTTATAATGAAGACATGGCCCGTGTTTTTAATACAATTTCAGGCTTATGTTTGTTCCGTAAATCTCCTCCGAGAGACCCTACATGAGTTTATTAAGGGTCAAGACAGATTTTTAGCTTTCAGCTTTTAACTGGTGTTAATGAATGCAAAAAGGGTCAATTAACTGTGCCACCTATCGGGCTGGTAACAGTGAAAGGCCGCGGTTGGCAGATTGGGGCTTTGCTCACCTCTCTCCGGGCTCTCGGCGGATGGAGAGGGTCTCGCCAGCAGCTGTGTGTGCAAACTCTCGATCTCTGTGTTCTTGCTGAGCAGAAGCTGCTGAAGGCTGCTGATCTCTGCCTGTACGCGTCACACAGTGAGGAATCTTAGCAGAACGGACACAGAGCTGAACAGAGCTCAGCAAACCACGGTGGAACCTCCAGAAAGGATTCAGGTGTGTGCATATTTTCAACGCTTAAAAATGATGAAAGCGTTGTGACTATAAGGTCAACCAGGCAATACCTGAATGAACCTGAATAAATGAAACTACTGTTTGAGTGTGTGAGTAGGGAAACACAGTCAAATATATCTCAATACAAAGACTGCAGACGAATAGTGTATGAAAAGGGAAAGACAGATGGCAATGGGACAGCTGATGATTTTATCATGAAAGAGGACAAACGGCTGCTCACACAAGTTCAGGAGATTAATGCCATGTGAGAATGCAAGTGGGGCTTTAAAAACAGACTAAGTTACGACAATCTATTTTTACGAAAACGCAAGTGTCCATGCAAAACCAATTGACTCTCTGGCTGGAACGTTGGATTGGCTTTTTGGCAAGTTGAGTGGCGAGTTAGCAGCGGAATGTTGGCAATGATGGTATATTGAAACCTCTAGACACCACTATAATGATAATAATAATCAGAACCCACTTAACCTTTGTTGCTGTGAGTTGTCTCTCATACTGTAACTTCTGGTCCTCCAGGTGTTCCACTTTGTCCTTGAGTATCCTGAGCTCCTTCACTAAGCCCTAAAGGAGAAACGTTGAGAACATTTAGCTGGTTAATACATATGCGCATTTTATTCCATAACACACATTGGTAAATAGGGCATTAAATGCACCTATTAGTGTCACACACTGATGCATACCATTTTTGCACAACAAAAATAACCAAGTAAAAAAGTACCATTTGGCGCTATGGGAAGAATATTTTGTGAGTCTGGCTCCATTTGCATCTTCAGCTATGAATAACACGCGATAAAGCGACATAAACCATGCTGCACACAACCATGCAGGGAGGCTGTGCCTACACTTTTCTCTCCGCAGCCGTACTGCTGGTTTTCATCTGAGCTCGCCTCTCCCAGGCTGTCTCCATGTGTGTTCCCGTCGGGCCCTTCTGGAACCTCCTCTGAGGTCCTCTCACAGGACAGCCAGCAGTGTGAGCCCTCGCCCGCCGAGGACTCAGTCGGACACACCGCCTCCAACGCCAATACCTTTTTCTCCTGGATCTTGCTATTGATCTCCCTTTGAAACCTACACATCTGCTCCTGCAGCTCACTAATGAAATTCACTACAGTCTGACAGATGCAATAGGGGGAAAGAATTGAGAGACATGTTAAGAGAGAATAGAGGAAGTCTCTGATAACCACAGAGTTGGTGTATGCATGTGTGGGAATGCAGTCCTGAGAAAGTGCAGATTTGATCTTGATGAATGTGTAAATATACTAGTAAGCTAGTGTTGGAAACACAAATATTTGGCTGTTCCCCATAAGTCGGATGAGACGAAAACCTCCCATTCTGTCTACTGGCCCAGTTAGTGTCTGTGCACAAAACTTGAAAAGAACTCTGCCGTATACTTTATTATTACTCAGTTAACATGTATATGTGTTATTCTGTGCAATATTCCAGTACATCCAGTTCATAAAATGGGTTTATTTATTTTGCATTCATTTAAAACAAAAAGGTGAGTAGGTTCGCCATATTTTAGAGGTCTTCCGTGACTGTGTTCCTTCCGAAGGAGTGTAAACAGCAGCCAAGCTATGCCCAGACTGTGACAGAGGAAGTCTCACTTGGCGTCCACAGGAGCGGATATGACAGATGATATGGACTGCCTGAATGGCTAAATTTAACTAAGAGCATACTGTCTCCACTGCAAGAAGGCTTCCACATGATGTTTGCGTGTGTGTGCACAAACACGCATATGTGTGTATGTGTAGTAGAGGCAGCATGTGGGAGGCCAAGTGTTCAAAGCAAATTTTTTCCTATTCCCCTTAAGTCCAAACAGCTGTTGTAGTGAAAGCTGAGTTTGTGCACATGATGAAAGCAGTCAAGAAAGTCAATTTATACTCAATGGTGCATACTGTATGCTGTTATTTCTGCTTTGAAATGCAAATACAATCCCTATGAATGCAAGCACCATTTTATAAATGATTTGTACATAATTCAATTATGTAAAAAACAATTGCAGACATGCCGCCAGTTTATTTATTTTCAGAATGGAACTATTACCCAACACCAACACCAAAGCCTACCCACACTCATATTTGGCCGGCCATCCATCATGCAAGCTCTGCTATGCAGGAACACTTTTAACTGGAGAACACAAAGGCTCTTTGACCGGCAGTGTTTTAAAAGTAACCACATAGAGTATCCTGTCTGGTGGTAGTGCTGCTTTCCCCGTTTGCACTTTCCCCAATTCATATGGTCACTAAATGCCCTGGACGTCTGCTGGTAACTTAACACGTCGGTCTTAAGCAAACATGTGATTCAGTTTGAAAAAAAAGAAATCCTTTTTCCTGTGGACTTTGCTGAGCATCAACAGAGCCAGGGTTTGGGTGAATATTCCTTCCCAGATTTTTGTGTGTAACTCTTCATTCCTGGCAGAGCTTAACTAATTCGTCCTTAAAAAGGAATTCCAGAGTATTAAGAAAAAGTTCTTAAGAGTTAAATTATTTATAGTGGAAAGTTAGAAAACTTTGCTACTAAATAATGGAAAGAAAGTGAATTAAGTACACAGGCGTTACTCAACATGGCAGCCTTGTTTGGATGGTTACATGTTGGCTTCAAATGAGTAGCTTTAAAACACAACCATAATTACAGACTGCACTATACTGTACTATATATTAAAGAATAAAACATCCCAAGGAATAGATATAACTGACTGCGAAAAGTCCTACCTCTGCCTTGTGTTGCCTTTCAGCCCCATGGCCCTGCTTTCCCTCCATGTCTGCCAGCTTCAGTTTAAGGTAGGACACCTCCCCCAAAAGATTCTGCTTCTGGTTCTCCAGTGACGTCCGATGCAGGAGCTCCTGTTGTCAACAACACACAGCAAGCGCATGAGGAAACACAAAGGGACATAGAGTATATAAAGATACATACGTACAGTGTTCATAACTTACCGAACAAAGGCCACATTTAGTATGACGCACAGCACACTTTCACATCTGAAATAACAGTCCCTTCAAACAAACCTACTGGATTCAGACGCTGTTTGAGTGGCTAAATATACACAGCCCATGACCACTATTTATAATGCCTATTTCACTGCTCACTCAAAATACGCAGCGGACAGAGAGAGAGAGAGGGATACCAAAAGCATGCGAAACATTCATAGAAAGAACGTCAGAATAACCTTGACAGGTGCATTTTCGTCTCCCTGTGAACTGCTGCCACTCAAACCTGGTCCTGAGGGACAGTCTGCTCTACAGTTCTGACTCTCTCCGTCCTCAGTGGCTCTCAGCCACTATGCAGGCAGATGTATTACTCATTTTGTTGACGTCAAGCAGGTGTGAAATCACAGAAATAAGCATCAGATGCATGCAAAGGGAAACATCCGTTTAAAACTCTCTGCCTTTGGAAAATGTCCGGGTGTCTTCCGGGGCGTACACGTGGAAATCATTCAGGCTTTGTCACCAGAAAGAGATTTACGGCTCATGTCCAAAGCCTCATAATAGCCGTGTCTCCAAGAAACCAACCCCGGCTGCCCTTTGATACCCCGCACACATAAAGCTCTGAGCTTAGAAGTCGAAACGGAAGAATCGTCCACAACTCATCAGATTGTTAACAGACACATTTCTGGCACTCAAAAAACTGGTCATGAGTGTTAACATGAGCTTCGTCGACTAATTAAAAGACACAGTATAAGATGAATGAGATAAACTGATTGTGTGTAATACCTGGTTCCTCTTACTCCAGCGTCCACTCGCAGCAGAGGAACCGGAGGTGTATTCTCTTCATTAATGCAGGGGTTTTAAGTGCCTTGTAGTATCACTACATTAAAGTTTCGTACATCCATTCAATTCAGTGTCCCTCGTGGTGTTAAGTAAAGTCTGTGTAGTAGGTTTCAAGTCAAAAGCAAACAACTGTAATTTAAACGCGCACACACCTAAAGGAGCGCCACCTCTATTCTTTCTCCCTCCCATCTCCTACTTTTTAAGCTGCTGTCCCGCTCTCCTTCCCTCTGTTGTCACCTCCCTCTTTCTCTCTCTCTCTCTCCCTCCCTCTCTTTCTCTGTGTCTCTCCCCCTCTCTGTGTAAACAGGCAAGGTCACGTAGGCTGCAGGATGGGGTGTGGCAGATGGTGTTGTAATCACCTGCCCAGACAGACTCGTCTGGCGTGAACTAGAAGAGCAATTTGCTACTTCTGCGGAATGAGTCTGAGATTCCTAAATATTTTGGTTGTCAAGGTGATCTAAGGCCAGAAACACTGGAATCTTAGCAAGGAATTTGTTCCGAGGAAGCCAGACTCATCCTGAGTTACAGCTCAGCTTATGAGAAAAGATTGGGTCTGCAGAAGAGTCATTAAAAAGATTGATGGACAGTATAGAACCATTGGAAATAAGAACAACGTGGATGTAAAAACCCAGAAAGCCTCCTGACGAAAGATTTTTTTCAGTAATACATCGAATATTTGGTATCGCCGACGCTTTTACACAACATTCTTAAAGCTGTGTACCTGCTGTAGCATCTCCTCTGTGGAGTTGAGTTTTTGCTGATGCTCCACCAGAGAACTCTGTAGATTGCTGATCTGGGCCCACTGAGCTTCCACCTGGTCTGTCAGCACACTCACCTGTGTGTATTTGTGTGTTTGGACAGCAATTAAGTAGAGATCAATGACACCAAAACCTGACCATAACAAAAGTTTTCCATCATTAAGTTTCATATTTGATCATATAATTGCTCCCCAGGTCCAGCAGAAGGCTTGAGGCCTTGATTCGCTCTCTCACTGCAGGTCTTCCCGCAGTACACATTGATGCCAGCTATTTTCAGTCAAACAGTGGAAACATTTCCTTTGAGAAAATGAATGATCCTTTGTGCTCCAGTAGACGCCTCATGGCTTACACAGTTACACATTAACTGTAAATCTGCAGAAGAACTATTACGACCACACGCCATGCTGGTCACATGCTAAAAGGCCGGTCGGACCAGCCAAGTGGAACAAACAGGACACCTGCTCTGACACACACCTACACGTTACAGTTCATGGTGGTGCTAGCCTCAACCTGTCTGAAATAAGGACTTGTTCAGCAGTCTTCACATCTAAACACATGCGCATTTGCAGTCATCACAAAAACAAGACATTCGAGTGTTGCGAGAGCACCAACCCCGGCTTTACAACCCGTTGCTTCAAATATGCAAAAGTTGCGCAACATTTATGACGTGATATTCCGACCTACCTTTGCCCTTTCTTCCACTTCTGTGTGATATGGGCACTGGGAAGAATCCGCCACCACTAACAGTGTGGTGTCATAGCTCCTCTTTTATTTCAGCAGGCTCATACACAATGCAATTGATTCACCTTTAGCGAAAGTCCTGACATGCTTTCATTTAAAAGACATATACACCTTGTAAAACAGCAATGTTTGGTATTATGAATGTAGATGAGACATCTCACCTGAAGGATTAGAGATTCTTTGTCTTCCTCAAGACGTGATAACCGCTCCTGGTAAGACTCACTATTGCCCGATGGATGGAGGTTTCCCTTCAGAATGAAGGGTTAGCTGTTAAATTCAATAAGTTCACTGCCAGTCGCCCAGTCGCTCGGATTTGTTTTGTTTTTCAAATGAGGTTGCATTCTCACACAAGCACTCTCAGTCTTGGCGTGTCAATGGATCATGTGTGGAAAATTCTGTAAGAGGTTTACCAGTCCTAATCCAGTACTAAACATTGTGTCCAGCATTTTAATAAAAACAAAAATGCTGGATGAAGGCTGGCACAGGGCTGCCTGTGCAATTAGGGATATTTCCGAGCCATCAGTGCAAGGGAAGGAAAGTGCTACCAAATGGAATCAAAATTTTCCCACAGCCATGGAAACATAGGAGATCAGCACCCACCAGCAAGTGGTTTGCAATAATCTTTAAATACCGTAGAGTTTTTAATACAGTACTCTCTAAGCATCAGAAAACAGAATCCATGGCAGCATACGGTTTGAATTGACAGTATATACACTTTAAGTGTTGTTAGGATTTCATCATGTGGGTGGAATAAAGACAGGGGCCTATTTGTTAAAATACAAGTTGAACCGGTTTAAACGGCACCCAAACCCAACCAGGCGCTAAAATCTCACCCCAGTGTGAGATTTGGTCCACACCACAACACTGGCGCCTCATTCAACGAGCAGAAGAGGAATCACAGGGAGTCCCTGTGGCACTGCCATGACAGCACTGAGACACGAACACCAGCCCATTCCTTCACTCTGCGCAGTCCACATTGCTTAAATGAGGTGGATGGACTAAAAAGTAGTCCTAACTTAAAACAGACTGTTTGTGGAATCTGAGAGAGAATCAGATTGCTTTGCCCGTTTTCCTCTTTTAACCTGCAGGAGGGAAGTCACAGAATTCCTGCATTCTTCAAGTCAACTTTGTCAATGTTTTCTCCACGGTCAGAGCACGAAAAAAGTTTGTTTGATCAACCGAGCTGTTGTGGTAGTTGCTAGCGTAATGGTGTTGATCCGTGGGGCTTATTTCATGTTGTATTTAATGCTTAGATCAGCCACCGCGAGTAAAGTTGGTGTATTGCAGTTTTCCAGTGAAAGGACCAGTGCAGCAGCTACTGAATCTCAGTTTGCCGGTCAGGCTGCTGTGCGCTAAGGAACACACAGGGGACTTATTCTTTGGTTTTTTATCTGTTGATATTCATATATGTTTTTTCAGAGCACCTTGTATTAAAAGAAAAAACCTTTCTACTTACTCAACATACAAACTGTTTGTCTAAGTGATTCTAAACTTTGTCATGAAGATTTTATTTATACCTGTGGTTTATGGAAAATATCAACTATTTAGTCGTGTAAATTTTTACTTAAATACATGAGCATGAGTCAAAAGTTGAAAATGTTTCATATAAATATTAATTTATTATTATTATTATGAATTTATCTTATTATTTGTTTCCACCTTAAAACAATATGTTTTTGTATTTAAACCAATAGCTGTTATTGTAAACTAATTTTTTACATCATCTCTCTGCTTCTTTCAAGGAGCTAGTATACACAAAACAGCATATTTTGCACCTCTTGAATTTACAAACAAAGCAAGTCCTCCTCCAAAATCATCTACCATGGCAACCATCACTATGTGTCAAAAGCAACAACACTGAAAGCCTAAAATTAACAACGTATATCCGTTGAGGAAACTTAAAAAAAAAATGTCAATACATAAGGAACAATTTAGAATAATACTAATAACAGGCAATCATATCTTACCTTCCCCAGCCAGGCAAAATGTTTGTGGAAGTCAATATCACACTCCATTCTGTAGGCCCATTGTACTGTACATCTGGTTCTTAATGTAAACTAACAAAATTGAGCCTGTCCAAAAAAAGCATCAGATAGACAAAATCCAGAGTTGGATTAAACAATGCTTCTTTACTGTTCTGCATTGAATCCAACTCTCCTTCTTTCATGCACCATCCTTGTTGCAGTTGTAGAGAGAGCAGAGAGGAACTTAGTCCGTGTGGTTTAGATTCTGGGCAGTCTGAGACTTTTAGAGCTGAGTCGTATAACTCAAACTATGCCAGTTGGCTGTACTTCCTCTCTTTCTTTTCTTCTCTGTTCTTTTTTTCTACCTCTTTCTAACCCCTTTTTGCTTTTTTTCCCTCGCTCTGTCCTCTCAGGCACATTCAAACAGCTTCAGTATATCTGCTGCATTTTTGCAGGACCCCATGATTATCCTGATCTCCTATGATCGTCTTGTTCTGTCCTCCCTTTCCTTCCCCCGTACCTCTCTCTCTGTCTGTCTCGCTCTGCCTGAAGTACCTTTCGGTCGAGTGAATTTCGTGGGGCTTCCAAAAGGGGCACAGGGGAGAGGAAACGCTGTGCAGCATATGCTTGTCAGATGTGTTGCAGGGCAAAGAGTCAGCAGAGGCGAAGCAAAAGGGAAGGAGGAGGCCATGGAGGAGACTGAAAGGGAACGCAAGTTTAAAGTTGACAGTATGAAGTTAAAGTTGCCTGGACCAGAAGATCAAACAATTGTTTCAGAAAATTGGGAGAGAAGTAAGGCAGAAGTAGAAGAATGTGATGAGATAATACGTGATTGAAAGGGGGAGAAACGGCTGTACCATAAAACAGGAGCTCTGGATCTTATTACCGGTGCAGTTAGCAGTAAATCCAGCTAGCTGCTTCTTAGCAGACATGAAAAAGCCCTCCAGATGTTAATGACCAGGATCAAAGACCACCATATCACACAACCAAATAAACCCATAGACCAATGTTGCAGTACAACGTATAAGCTGTATGTAAATCACCAATGCAAAATCCTTTTCCCTTTCTCATTAACTGCATTTCAGATTGGATATTATATGTTTGAGTGTTGAAGGACTTTAGATGACACAGCACTCACCACATCTCTCTCCAGCCATTTCAGTATCACGTGTGCTGAATCCGTGGAGACTCGTTTCCTGAGACAAACGTGTTCTTCCTCGCTGCTCTGCCCCTGCAGCACTACCCTGAGGGCCTCTGTCAGTTGAAGAGCCCTGAGGGCCGGGTCCCTGAGGGGGGCAGGGGTCAAAGGTGATGTGTACGTTGAGGCTTTGCCCTCCCGGCCACCACACCGCATTAGAGCACTGAACAGCCCCTCGCCCATTTCGCCTGGAGGAAAGAACAACAGGAAATCACAGAACGGGACCTGAGAACATTTTATTACAGCATCTTTATTTATCGGACGTTGGAACTGAGTACACTGCTGATTTAGAGGAAAATGCAGTGAATAAATGGACAATCTCTGAAATGGCCTCTTGAGGTTGCTGTTGTGCACCAATTTAGCTCACTGGATTGAAATAGCATCCAATGGCTGTGCACTGTGGGTTCTAAAACCACAAATTGGAGGTTCAACTTCACTTCACAAGGTCACTGTAATCATCCTGTCTAAATTGCAAAAAGAACTTTTCATATGCAGTCCGAACTAAAATTAAAGGTGCAGTAGACAGGACACAAAATGGACTTGGTTTTGTAACGTAAGTAATTTCAGTTGACAGTGTGATTGTTGGTCATGTGTGATTTTTGCCATTAGTGTGTCCTAATGGTTGCACTGTCACCTCTATTAATAGAACGTTGTGGTCTGACCCTGTGCAAAAGCACCATCGCACTGCTGAGTTTGAGACAAACAGCTCTGACTTAAATGCACCTCTGCTCGAAAATATAGAAGGGAAACTTAAGTAACTTAGGAGTTTTTCAGTCAACACTGAGATTTGAAAGCCAGAGGAGAAGCAATACAAAAAACAAACATTAAATGAAGCGGAGAATACAGAGAGGAAACAAGTACAGAAATATATCAAGTAAATGCTTTGCTTTTTTCCACTCAAACCTCTCCAATGGAAACAAATAATCCCTCATTCTAAAAAAATGCCTTGATAATTATTGTCTTGCTCTTGTTTTGAGATTATTCTTGTGGAGCCAATTTAATGAAAGTATGAAACTGCAATCCGGGCAGTCTTTTGAAGCTCTGATAGTAAAACAGAAACTCTTACCAGCAATAATATCATCCATTTGCTCCAAGGCAGACTCCAACATCTGGCTGGCATTTGACGCCATGGCAACAAGTTCATAAAACGGCACTAAGAGATCCTCATTCACCGGCACGAAGAACGCCGTTGGCTGGTGGGATTCAGGAGAGTTTGAGATCTTCAACAGAAACACAGAGTGTTGCAGCCTACTCCCCTTTCTTGTAAAACGTAGATCCTTTTAAAGAAAGTCTACAACAGCTGTTCTGACATCTGAGGGACCAAGAAAATAACCTCCTAAATGCGGCTTCTGGTTTTCAACTCGCCTCTCATTTTGTGACCAGAGCCATTCCCATTTTTTCAAACGATGCCAAAGCTCAGGTTTAGAATAGTTTGCTTCTTTGTTTTTTTGCATGGTCATTGTTTATCTCTTTACACTTTCACTCCACATAAACTCCAGAATGTTGTTTGTTAATGTTTGTTGGAAAAAAAACAGTTTTGTTTGAGCCACAGAGGTCACATCTGGATACAAGAACATAGAAACCCAAACTGGACGGATAGAGGACACACTTACTGTAGCTATGACTAACCACGAACAGTGAAGTGAATATGAATTTGAATGCATTGTTCAGTTCACTGTATATTTTATTAACACACAGACCTTTGCAGAGGTTTTGGTGGCCTACTTAATATAGGCTCATGTTAACTTCACGTTCAAACACTAATGGCTGCATATGTGCAGAGGGAAAACCATGGCACTTAAAAGATCCAGAAATCCCATATAGTGCAATGAAATGTTCTGTTATAAGGAACTATGATAATGTCTTCAGATGTAGTGGCCTCCACCTGGCACCGTTCCCCGAGCCACTCCCTTCTCCGTCCCCTCTGCAGCCGAGCCAAACCACGCCCGCCACCACACACACGAAAAGACATGCTGGCTTCTTAAAAGTGACACTGTTTGTTTTTGTGCCATCGAGTAAATGTCAGAGAGATAATCAAACCACCAAGAAAGACGATTTCTGGAAACAGTGCCTGTATCCCTCCACGTTACCGTCTACCTTGTCGGATCCCATTTGTACAGCCTACTCAAAATGTGTCATACAGAGTGCCCACTGACCAGACCTCAACAAGCAACCTACACACCTGCGTCTCTACAAGGACACCCACACCCACCCGCTCCTTTTCTCTCTTTTAGATGATATTGCATGATGATTCACACACACACAGACACACAGAGGTGTAACCAGGAACAGAACAAGTCAAGTCATGGTCATTAACCAGATGGCAGCAAATGACGGTTAGTTGCCATCGTGACTTTAATACAAACGGGAAGGGATCCATTGCAAATGTGGTTTCTCCAGACTGCTTTTGAGTATTTGCTTATTGGCAATTATTTTGGAGCTGTGCAGAGCCTACAGGTGTCCATGATCCGCTCAAACAAACAGCTTGGCTGCCACTTGGTTGTCTTTTTATGGACTGCAAGTCCAACAACACCTTTTACATTATTTTAGTAATGTAATGGATATACAAACATTTTATTACAACTTTAACAGTGTATAATTAAAACTCTTTTATCGTTTAGTTTTTCATGTTTTATTGTTTCACAGATGTCCTAGTTGTCCACCATGTAGAACTACAGTCAGTGCTTTTTCTTATATTTCCTTAAATGATTAATTATAACTGGCCGAAATAAACAACGTATTTTTTTTTAATGGAATGATATTTATTGATAACATTAAACACATTTTTCCTACAGATACTCTGTCTAGAAATCAACCATCACTGTACATCAACTGACAGAACAACACATCCTATTCCCCAAAATAGAAACGGAAACAAACAAGGAGAAGATATCCCACCAAACCAAGACCTCATGCACCAATTCATTACCAAGTGAAAAAACCACACAGTACAGGCAGTTCAACTGGTTGTTAGAACATTGTGCAATTACAGACTCACCTCATTAAAACAAGTAACAAGACCATGTAAAAATTAGTAACTACCGTATAAACCCAGGAATAGCAAAGACTTCAATTGTCTGCATATGCCTGTTTTTTTTTTCTTCCTTTGGAACAATATAGAAAAGAAAACATCCATCTTTGCATTCATTCGACATGCAACAGATCCTATTGAGCGGAGCTTTTCTCTCTTTCCAGTAGTTTCTCAATGAACGGATTATTCTTTTATGATCGTACGTGTGCAGCACAATGTCCAGAGGTGCAGCCAATGCTTCAGGTTGATTGGTGCTCTTGTGTGAAGTGTTGTTCAAGGCTACGGAGAGGGAGGCGTCTTTAGAGAATTACAGGATCCGCCCTGGCTACTGCCTGTAGTCCCTTGGTACTGCAAAGTAGAGTCAAGCGGGCGTCGTTATCAAGCTGGTCATCTTGAAACTTCCAAATAAATGTACCACCCACTCACAGTTATAAATTGGGCATAGGAAACACTAAATAAATCCCATTTGGCATTATTTCTGGGGAATAGATACTTTGCCCATTTTATTTACCAACTGGGAAGACAAAAATACAAACATTTCTGAGTGACTTACATGGTAAACAAACATGGAGACCTGCCTTATTTTTAAAAATAATGTTATTTTAGGACTGCTGTCATTACAGTTTCAGGAATGGTTTTAGGATGAGAGGATTCAGCTCCTTTAAATGAGATTAATTGGGAGGAAATAAGTAATAAACAGGGTTTCTCGAGGCTTTAATATAAATTTCAAAGTAGCCTACTAAATAGTCATATAGCCGCGTAAAAAAAACATTAAAAGCTCAATTTCCAGTTTTCTATCGTTGTCTCCTTGTCTTACTTTGCAAAAGAGAAACCTTTGATATGCACACAATGCACACAATGAAGGCCTTTTCTTATAGATAGATACCATCCGTCAGCTTCTCAGCAACACTTCCTCTTCTCTGCTGTAAGAATATAATCTTCTTAGTTATCCGTCTCATCCACTCTACTGCACCCCCGCCACCCTCCCCAAGGGTAGAGATTTGTATAATTGCATTTTTTTAATTCACCACATATTAAAAAAGTCCCCGCAGAGAGAAGAGCGGCTATTGTTTATAACCCTATACCAAATTTCAATTAATGTATTCATCGATAGACTTTTCTCTAATACTTGCTTGCTAGCAGCATGCCTAAGGGACACAACTTAAATGTATAAGAGCAGCTGTGACAGTGTTAGTTTTAACAGTGTGCATGCTAGGAAACACACGCGTCACAGAAATGTCACCTTACCTCGACAATTGGATGCCAGTGGGCAACAGGTTTTCGGGGACACGTGAGCATTTCACTCCAGTGGTTTCGGCCGAGGCTGTCTGCATCATTACCAACTCGGCACACACCAATGACCTCATTATGGCCCACTCTGTGGGTACAGGAGGGAGAGAGAGGACAAGGCATGTGATC